GTCAGATGATTTCTCAACAGAAACTTTTCAGGCCAGAAGGGAGTGGCAAATACCAAAAGAGGAAGAAGAAGAAGAAAAGAAAATGAACAATAAAATGGCAATAAATAAAACTCTATCAACAACTGAATCTAAAAATCAAAATAAACAAACGCGGAATCTAATGAAAAAAATAAACTGATGGCCCTAACCGGTTTGGCTCAGTGGATAGAGCGTCGGCCTGCGGACTCAAGGGTCCCAGGTTCGATTCCGGTCAAGGGCATGTACCTTGGTTGCGGGTCCCTGTCCCTTCCTCTCTGTAAAAAATCAATAAAATATATAAAAAAAAATAAAATAAACTGATGAATAATATAGAACCAGAGACATGGAAACATGGAACAGACTGATGAATCTCAGAGGGAGGAGGTATGGGAGGGTGGGAAGAGATTATCCAAAGATCTAATATGCATACTAGAGGTCCGGTGCACAAAATTCATGCACGGGTAGGGTCCTTAGGCCTCACCGGCAATCAGGGCTGATCTGTGGGGCGACCGGCAGAGTGACGGGGGGCCCCAGCCGCTGCAGGTTGCCTCCCTCTGCAGGGCGACCAGTGGGGCAATGAAGGGGGGCCCGCTGGCACCTGCCTTGGCTCACCTGGTGCCACCGCTTGCTGACTCTGCCTGCCACCACCACCGCCATTTGCTTCCCTCCGTGGGGCGACTGGTGGGGCAATCAGGGGGCCCCTGCTGGCTCCCACCTTGGGCAGACTGGCACCACCTGATCGCCAGCCCTGCCCCCCACCACCACCGCAGGTCGCTTCCCTCTGTGGGGGGACCGGTGGGGCAATCGGGGGGCCCCCATTGGCACCCGCCTTGGCCAGGCTGATGGCACCCACTCACCGGCCTTGCCCCCTACCGCCACCACCAATCACCTCCCTCTGCAGGGTGACCAGCGGGGCAATTGTGGGGCCCCCACTGGCACCTGCCTTGGCTGGCCTGGGGCCTGCTGGTTGGGGGCAACTCCTGCATTGAGCTCTGCTCCCTGGTGGTCAGTGCACATCATAGTGACTGGTCATTCCACTGGTCGTCCCGCCGTTTGGACGATTTGCATATTAGGCTTTTATTATATAGGATATGCATTACCTATGGACACAGACAATAGGGTGGTAAAGGCCAGGGGCAGAGTGTGAACCGGGTGGAGGGAAGCAATGGGGGGCAAGGGGGAAGAGGGCATCTGTAATACTCTCAACAAAAAAGATATTTTTTAAAAAATCATTTCATCCAGTGTTTGTGTGCACTCAATTTGTCGACTATTGCCGGTTTTGTACTGTAAACTTTATATTTTATGACTCCCCATAAAAAAGTCTAGTGGCATGTTATAATATATTTTCTTTGTTCAAAGCTTAGTCTGGCTTCCTCCATTATTTCAAATCAGTTAAACCTGAAAAGCAGTTTAACTTAAGTGTGTTACCAGCTGTTAAAGTGTATATACAGGGTTTTTTTGGACACGTTATATTTCTGTCAGCTTTAACTTCCTCATCTTCATCAGTTATCCTGTCCTCAATCTCCTAAAGCAGTGGTTCTCAACCTTCCTAATGCCGCGACCCTTTAATACAGTTCCTCATGTTGTGGTTACCCCCAATTTCATTGTTACAAATTGAACATAATTAAAGCATAGTGATTAATCACAAAAACAATATGTAATTATATATGTGTTTTCCGATGGTCTTAGGCGACCCCTGTGAAAGGGTCGTTTGACCCCCAAAGGGGTCTCGACCCACAGGTTGAGAAGCGCTGTCCTAAAGCCTCCTTCTGGCAACTTCACACTGTGTTTCCCAGTTGTCTGATCCTTTTCTTCACAAATAGCATCTAGCATGCCAGGTGCAGAAAGCCCACTAGTGTGTGGATTTACTCGTGACCCTCTGTATTCTGATTGCACAAAGAATCCTCTCCTTAGGACCAGTACAGAACCCTGCTTCAGTTAGCCTTTCCTTTCTTGCTGGATAATCCTCCTCCTGTTGCTCTAGCTTGTGTTTCTTTTGACGGGGGCCTTCTCTCTGAAGCATGTCTATTGCACCACCCCCACTGGCGATCCTCGGGGGAAATGGTCTGGGAGGAGGGGCCAGCTCCTGCCATAGGCCCCAGTGGGAAGGCCGCCCAAGCTGCCACGGGGCCACCACTAAAAGGCCCAGCAAGCACAGCGCGACCAGAGAGAAATGAAGCTGCGCCCACGGCCCTGGCCATCCACAGCCCCAGGCCTGGCAGCTAGGAATTTTTATATGTTGCTGGTTGGACTGAAAATGTATACAACCACCTTGGAAAACAATTTAACATCCATATACTCCATGACTCAGCAGTTTGACTTCTAAGTATGTGCCCTACAAAAACTCTTGCATATTGTATAGAAGGCAGAGATAAGTAATTTATTGCAACATTGTTCTTAAATGCAAAAACTGTACTTAACACAAATGTTCAGCTCTAGAGATTAGATAAAATATTATTGTATATTCCCATAGTGAATATGTAGCAGTGAACGTAAGTGAACTGTCTCTATATTCTTATGTTGGCAGCTGTAAGAATGGCACCAGGTGTTAGTTGAGTTTTGACTAGAAAAAATTCAGAGCCAAGACTCAAACTAAAGAGAACATTTATTTAGAAAAATCACAGAGGTAGAAGAAATGGGCCGTACAAGAAATGGGTTCAGGAAACAAGTTACAGAAGCAAAAGAAGGACCCTTGCCCCTTAGGAGAGCGGAGTAAGGAGAATGTGCCTGCGGGGATGGAGAAGGGAAGGGGAAAGGCAGTTAGGTGCTCTGGGTGGAAGAGCACACTGGGTCCTTGGTCCTAAAAGCTTTTAAGGGTGGGATTTTAGGGGAGGTCCCTGGGGAGGATCTTAATAGAATATTCATCAGCTTTCCAGGTGAATCCTTTCCGGGGTGTGGTTTCTGCTGATTGGTCGGCACCAGGGGGTCGGCATACAGCTGAGGTCAGCTGTGGGTCACTTGCTTGGTTTTGCTGCTTTTCTAGGACTGGAGCTGAAACACAACTGAGGCCTAGATGTTATCTCTAGGGAGGAAAGGTCAGAGGGTTTAAGTCGCATGACCTGCTATATGGAAGGTCAGGGGTCCAAAACACATGACCATCGATTTCCTACGGGAGGAAAGGTTACCCTGGGAATGAGGTCCCACCCTACAATTGTCAGTTGTTAAACACCCAAGGCTTTCCACTCTGGTGATCTTCTATTCCGGGCCCATCGTCCTTGCTGTACTCATGTCTGTCTAACTACCTACCACACTTAAACATGGATGGATCTTAAAAATAGAATGTTGAATGAAAAATCAAGTTGCAGAAGACTAAAATACATTAGGATACAGTTTCCTATATAATGTTTAAAAGGACGCCAAATAGCCCAGCTGGTTGTTGAACGTCAACCCATGCGTTGACCCATGAACCAGGAGGGCACATGCCCGGGTTGCAGGCTCAATCCCCAGTTGAGGGCATGCAGGAGGCAGCCAATCAATGATTCTCTTTCATCATTGATGTCTCTATCTCTCTCTCTCTCTCTCGCCCTTCTTTCTGAAATCAATAAAAACATTAAAAAAAAAAGGAAGCCAAAAAAGGAGGACCTATGTAATACTTTCAACAGTAAAGATTAAAATAAATAAATAAATATTTTTTTAAAAGGAAGCCAATATGCTGAAACCGGTTTGGCTCAGTGGATAGAGCGTCTGCCTGCGGACTCAAGGGTCCCGTGTTC